TCTGCACCCCGCTTGGGGGAATGAGGTCCCCGTGCCGACCGAAAACGGTCGGGGTGGGGGTTCTCGGGACGCGGCGCGCCCGCCGAGCTCTTTCTGCGCGGGCAGGAGGCTCCGGCAGATCCCGGGGGGCTGCCCGATGCGTCCCTAAACCTCTCGCAGAAAGCGGGGAGGTGAGGCGAAGGGCTCGTGCCGCTCCGTGCCTGCGATGGCTCCGCAGCATCCCACCCACCTCCCGTCGTCTGTTCTGGTTTCCCTTCTCCCTCCCCCCTGTTGCTATTTATCCCGAACGCCGTTTTTATCTCTCTTCGTGCTCTGACTGTACGTTCGAGCTTCTGGGCAAGATGCTGGTAATTTCCATACGGCTTAGGACATAAAAAGAAACGTCCGAAAGCTTCCAGAAACGCACCAGACCCGCAGCCCCGGGAAGCGCAGCAGCGTCCCCGATGGCACGGCCTGCTGCTGAGTTTAGGGAAAAAAAATAAAATAAAATTAAAAAAAAAAACCCTTTCTAACCTGGTCGTTTTGACAGGGAAAATGCTGGAAATGAGTTAAGTGAAGGATTTTTAGGCAGCGCAGAACATCCTCCTGGTTTGGTATCGCTCTGAAGCCTGGCGGTATGGCACGAAATGAGGCGGTATGGCACGAAATGAGGCGGTATGGCACGAAATGGCCTGGCGATATGGCACGAAATGAGGCGGTATGGCACGAAATGAGGCGGTATGGCACGAAATGAGGCGGTATGGCACGAAATGAGGCGGTATAGCACGAAATGAGCTCTCTGGCCCCAGCGTTTTAGTGCCTAGCTTTTGATTCGGTACCTATTCATTACCTTTAAGAAATGCCAGGCATTCACTGCTCCTCGTTTCTAATTTGCAGTTCAGACCCGACGTCTCTGAAGAGGGGACGCCTGTGAGTACTCCGCGTTTCGCAGAGCCTTTCCCAGCGGCTCCCTTGGGGTTTTTTTTTTTCCTCCCCCCCCTGCCCCGTATTGCAGTTTCTCTTCGGAAGTGGTGTTCCGTGCTGTCCCCTCCCGGCCGCGCAGCCGGACTCGCTCTCCCTGGCGGCGTTTAGCCCCGCAATTTGCTCCCGCGCGGAGCCGAGCACCGCACGTTCCTCTTCCAAACGCACGCGTCCGTTCCCGTTGGCCTCGCAATTCACGGATGCAAAGCCAAAAGCCCCAGACAGGTTTGTTTGTTTTTTTTTTTTTAAATTTTTTTTTTTTTTTCCTTTCTAAGAGCTCATGACCCATCAGTTCCCATTGTACTCAAGGCTGGAGCTCTTTTGAAAATATACCGCATGTTCGGCTGCCTAAACGGGCCCTTGTGGAAACCCGTGCTCGGCCTCTCCCCTCGCAGGCTGGGGCGTCACGAACGTTTTGGGAGCGAAGCTGCTGTGGGCACCCCCCCTCCCCTGCCGCCGCCGCCGCCCTCTTCTCCGTCTCTGAAGCCGCTCCAGCTGGCAGGCGAGGTGCCCCCGCGTAAGCACAGCGCCTGGTAAATATTGCCAGCTAATGCTTTGCTTCGGGGGGGAAAAGCAAAATGAGATTAATTGAGGTGTCTCGAGGGCTTGTGTGCCATTTTCAGGGAATTCTCTGAAACGCAGATTCGGTGGGGAAAATGACAGGGAGCTGCGCGGTGGCAGGGGCCGGGAGGACGGAGCTTGCGTTTCATGGAAGAAAAAAAAAAAAAAAAAGGAAAAATAAAATAAAGACATGGGTGAATTTGGAGCTGCTTCCGCAAGGGCGTCGTGTTACGGGGCTGGGAGACGTCGTCTTACCTGCGGCCCAGCTCCGGTAACGCTGCGCCGGGAATTCGACCGCTCCTCGAGCTCGGCGGGGCGTCGGGGAGTTCCAGGGAGGCGCTGGGCTGCGTGGAGCAGCTGGCGTGCCGCTTGGCTCGGGCGCCTCGTCTTTTTCTTTCCTCTTCCTTGTCTCGCCGCAGGTCTCGGTGGCAGGATTTGATGCCGAGGGCTCGAGGCTGTGGTTGGCGGGAGGCTGGCGGGGTTTTTATCTGTGGTCTGGGAAGGGTGAGGAAAGAAAGCGGAGGCTCTCCGTCAGGAGTTTTATTTTTTTTTTTTTTTTTTTTTTTTGGACAGAGACCCCACAAATCACGGGTTGGAAAAAGCGCTGCCCGGAGCGTGGGTTTCGGGAGCGCTCGCTCTCCTGCCGCCCTGCAGCGGGACGGGCTGGGGAGGGAGGATCCGGGGGTGCTTTCTGGATCTGGCAACGTTTTGCCCTAAACTGAGGCAGATCCACAGCTCTGGGACAAAATGAGGGCTCTCGCAACGAAAACGGGGAAAACTTTTCCCCTCTAAAAGGAATCTTTTTCCGACCGACCCTAAAGGCTCCAGCTGCCCCCGCGGTTCCCTGCGAGCAGCTCTCCCGCTCCCCGGTGCCGAACCCGGGACCGCCGCGTGGTCGTGCAGCTGGACGTGCCCTTCTCCCAGGTGAAGGCTGGCCAGGGCGCTCTCCTCCTGGGGAGCAGCCCTTTTCCTTTCTTCTGGTGGGTGAATAGCTGGCGGACGGGGGTTGCCGTGCCGAGGTAGCCGTGAGGACGGAGCCCTTCTTCCCTCCCCCTGCCGGTGCAAGGCCTGGCTGATATTCCCTGTGTCCGTGTTTGCCGCCGGGCAGGGGCGTCCCTGCTCGGTAACGCCGTGGAGGGCGAGGAAGCGCCGGGGAGATCTGAATTCTTCTCCTTTGGCTGGTTTTCGGGAGGGCTGGAGGTGGGGAGGCCGGATAGTGGCTTTTCCCCACCC